ATATGTCTCCTTTAGTACTTAACTGTCGCCGCTAGATGCCGCACTCTCGGATACCTCCTAGGTCCTGATGCTTCGCGCGTACGTACCAGGAACCGATGAGATGCTTTTTCAAGGAGGTATCACCGGAGAGTGAATTTCTGTCCTTGTCGCACAGTATGTCTGCCCTTGTCTTGCACATTACGGGTATAGGGAGAAGCTTCGACAATTCTCAGCCGCTAGATGGTGCCACCATGCGGCATTCCTACCGACGCAGCAAACCCACCAGGTAATCGATAATAACTTATTAATTGTTACTCGAATGTGTTTCAAAATTTTACTCAATATTCTCTAAAGTATAGCCTAATTTCTACAAACATAGTTGTTCACAATTTGTCCGTATTAAGTGAAGAAATTAATTGTAACCATTCATCTTTCAAGAAATTCTACGTTACCTTCTGACAATATCTCTGTTAGTAATTAAGAAATAATTAACGCGACACAAAATCTCTTCCGCTGCGAAACAGGAAGATAGGGGAAGGTTCATTCTACGATGTTAAATTGTAAAAGTTAACAAATTGTTCGTAATAGTATAGTTGATAACGAATTAGCTGCTGATTTCGTAGTTTCCTGCTGTATCGACATGTCACATTTAGTTTCTAACTGTTGCCGATAGATAGCGGACTTTCGGTTACCTCCTTAGTCCTGATGCTTCGCGCGTATGTACCAGGAACCGATGAGATGCTTTTCGAAGAAGGTGTCACGAGAGAGTACTTGTCTGTCCTTGTCGCACAGTATGACTGTCCTTGTCTTACACATTACAGGTATAGGGAAAAGCTTCGAAAATTCCCTGCCGAACTGCAACCGTCTTTACACATGCGTAATATGCCCTTGCCTTTGCAATTTCGACGTTCAACGGCTCAACGAATTTTATGTTACATTAATCATCTGCCAACTGCTCTTTACAGATATAATGATTATGTTACGGGTCTGTGCAAATAAATACAAATAAATAAAAAGTGTATTCTTTTCTATTTTTCTCTCAATATTACATATTGGCATATGCACGAAATTTCTTATAGGCATTTATCAAAATGTTAAACAGAAATCACAATTTTTAAGTATAATGCCCTATCGAGGAAAGAATGCGAAAGAAATTGAAAGTGCAATGGGTTGGCAAACATAAATATCACTCGATTATTCTGAATACCAATTAAATATTATTCTCCTTTTCATATACTATATAGAGTATCTTGCTCGACGGGTTGCTCAATTGTTTGTTCGCCAGAACATCGGTAACAGGTTTTCCGAATTCGTAGAAGAGTTCTTCTTCGTTCTTCATCATGACTAGCCACAGCATCGCTTTCCTAGCGCCATCTAACGCGAGATTTACACACTGTGCAAGAAAGCACACAGCAGCAGGCCTATTATTTTCGAACGCTGCATAAAACTGCTCGCGTAAATACGCCGTGTCGGGCAGCTCTTTCAGTACAAGTAGTGGGGATGAACGCTGTTTTCGAGTTACTACCGTGAGGAGAGTAAGTTACCGACACCTCTGCTCTAAAGTTTCCTCTCGACCAGTACATTTCAATGGAATCCGTGAGGAAACATATGTACCGAGAAAATTATTAATAAACTATCCGTCAGCGAGAAAAAAGAAAGAAACGGACAAGAAAACACGTACAGTGAAACCTTAAAGTTGGAGGTTTTGAAAATATTTTCGTGTTCTTCCAGTGCCGATTATTTCGATTGGTACCCCCTTTGAACTCGTCGATCATAACCTAACTTCCTAATCTGTCAATCGAAACGTAGTGCTCTCGCACGTATCTAACGTGATAATGTAAAATGTATAATATAAACCATAACCTTTCGTTACACCAGCCAGTTTGTCCAGCTTCGACTGAACTTGTGATCGTTGAACGATTGAAAATTGTGTACTTTTTCGACTGTCTCTCGCGTGTATTGTAAACACTTGTTTGACATTTAAAAAGCAAATTGGCCGTTTACACGTAACGTTCCCAATGGCCGAAAAAAAAGGGAATGAATTAATTACGCAGGAAATTCCTGGAAAATCCGAAGAAACGGGAGATAATATAACCAACGAAGAAGCACCAGGCAGCCTCGAAACGGTTCCTTCGGAAGCGCTTCGAAATGGAGTTCAAACCATCAGCAAAGATAAAGCGAAAAGTAAAACCTTTCCAGCTTTCCTCGACCAACTGACGCGATATACTCCTAAAACTGGTGTAACCGCTTAACAAATGTTTTCAGTCGATATACTCCTGAAAGCAACTGGCAATGCTCCCATAATGAAGCAAAAGAAATGGTCCGTCAATCAAGATTCCTGTATCGGAAAAATTTCAGATTTCGTTAGAAGGTACCTTAAACTGGAATCCAGCGAAAAACTGGTACGTATACAGAAGAAAAGGTCTTATCATAAAGCGTACGTTTGGGTGTAGATCCAACGATAAATTTAATTTATAAATGTTTCTTTATTAGTTCCTGTACGTAAATCAGACTTTCGCCCCGGCACCCGATCAAGTGGTTAAGAATTTATACGACTGTTACGGCGCAGATGGAAAATTGATACTTCACTACTGTAAAAGTCAAGCCTGGGGATGAACGTACAAACGTAATTTATATTTCCTTGATAAGCGTAATAAAATATCTCACGAGTATTATCCACATAAATACCGTAACTTGTAGTAGTATCCAATCCATCGAACGAGATGTTGTAAATACGAATAAGCGAATAAGTGAATTTTTTCGAAACTCTTTGCGAGTGTTTACTCGATGTAATTTATCCATAGATCGGATTCATCCACGAGGAATATAAATAGAAAGAGGGATGGACGATTGGTAAGTGTTGGCCAGGTTATTAAAAGAATCCAAGGCATAGTTTCGGATACGCGATTCTTCGATTGATTGTTCAACCGAGTTTCGCATCGTTCAACTCGGTTTGCGGTTCGATTGGCCGTTTCCAGATCATCGTACCTCCGTCCGTGCTTACGGTGACCATAAATTCACCGTCCGGCGAAAAAGCGCAACCGCTAATGGGAGCTGCGTGAGCAAGACCCAATCCGACTACAGTTGCCGTACGATACTCCCATAATTTGACGATACAGTCATCCGAACCGGTAAGAAAATATCGTCCGCTGCTGTCGACGGCTATAGCGTTTACCGTGCCAGTCGTCGAACCTTCCACTTCCCGAACCAACGAGCCGTCCAAAGTTTCCCAATAAGCGATTTTCCGATCGGTACCACACGTCAGTACTTGTACACCGGTAGGCACGAAACACGTCGCCATGTGCATCGTATTTGCCTGTAATGCCAACTTTCTCCTGAAATTCCTGAGAAGCAAACGAATGCGCGATTCTTACTCGTTCGAAATGTTACTCCGTTGGACGGTTCAACGGTCTAGTTTCTTCGATATGTCTGGTCAGGCTACCTCGCATCCCATACGATGCACGTGCCGTCTGTGCTCGAACTGATCAAATGTTGATCGTCCGACGAGACCTGCAACGAAGTTATCGGACCTCTGTGTTGCTTCAGAACGAATAGCAGTTGTCGCGTATCGGATTTGGCATTCCATACTCGAACCTGTAAGATCGATTCTTTCTTGTTCTCTAGCCGAAGCGAAGGAAACCATCGTTACGGGGAGTATAAACGTTCGTACCTGTCCATCGCAACCGCCGCTAACGATTTTACAATCGTCATTTGTAATCGTGATCGCCGATACGGACTTGGTGTGCGCTCGATTAATGGCGAATAACATATTCCCACCGTTCAATGCGAATCCTCGTATCGCGCCGTCGTCCCAAGCTTTCTCGGTTGCACGATGCACGATAGTGACGAGAGAAAACAATATTATATAAAATTATGTAAAATTATATAAAATCTAGACATGTATGTACAGATTAGCATAGATGAGAGTAATACGACCTTATCCGCTCACCGGATATTATGATGGCGCTGTTCCGATTGAAACACAGATTGGAACAAAGAAAATTTGGCACAGTGATTCGAAGCAGTTCCTTTTGCGTTTCCAGTCTCCACACTCGAATGTCGTGTTTGCCAGTCGTCGCAAATATCTCCGAACGATCGCTGCAAGTTCAACTACGGTCTACTACGATATTTCAACGAACGAATCTTTTTTCTGTGCGTGTAACGTGTTGGATCGAATAGGGGAGAGCATTGTACGCCTAACGGAGCAGACACGATTTAGTTTGATTTACCGTGGAAAAGCAAGACCGTAGATCGAACTGGTATGACACGTGACGATCAAACGCGTTCGAAAGCTCGCCAGTTGAATTTCATAAATTTCGCATTGGCTGGTTCCTACCAGTATGAAATGATTTTTGCAGCTGACCATGGATGTCACCGTACCGCCAACGTGCCCTGTTCGATGCTGCGAACAAACACGACGACGTTGATGCGTATGGCATGGAAGAAAATCGTTCGATTCGTTACCGTTACGATACATGGCAGAACCAAAAGTTTCTCGGATCCGTTTCTCCCGGACGCCGCATCGCTTTCCGCTATCTCTATGGACTCGACTGTTCCGTCTCCGGCGCCCACTATCATTTCTCCGTGTCCCAAAAGCAATAAATTCTTGACGCCGCCAGCGTATACCGCTCCAGTTGTACGAGTTTTCTTTGCTTTCGCTGCACGCGGTATCTTTGAATAGCATCCGATCATGATGGGATACGCGACCGATTCATCTTTCGTTTGCGACATGTTCAACCTGTAGAAGAACGATATTTGCGATCGATGGAAGAGAAATTTGATAGAACCGATGCACCACCTTGCTTTCACGATATCTCCGGAAGTCGTTCCGCAATAGATGTATTCGTCTTTATCGTCTAGAACAACGCAGTTGACGTCGCGTCTGATCTTTCCAAACTTGACGTCGATTCCTGCGAGTTTCCTTTTTTTCGGATCCATCAGCCAAACCCTGAACGTTCCTTCTCCGGCAGTGACAAAACTCGGGCTTGGAGCGCGTGTGGCTGCTATCGTCAGAGCGCTTCCGGACATTTCTTTGCTGGCGAAAGTACCTATATCGGCGACCGACACAATCGTGCAATGAAAATACCAGTACTCGCGAAACATACATATATACATATGTGTGTGTGTATACATTACCACAAAGGGGATTTCCATTTAAAACATCCCACACCACGATACTTCCGTCGTCCCTACCCCCCAGGCTAATCAGATATCGTTCGTCCTGTGTGAAACAAACGTCCTCGACCCTTACTTTGTGCATATCGTAACTACCTTTCATTTTACGATTCTCGTAATCCCATATTATGACCATTGCCTAGGCGCAACAAGATCATTACTCGACGATACGCCGTAATCGTTGACGCGGACCGCTTGAACCGACAAAGCAATTACCTTGAAACCGTGGTGGGTTACTTGGCCGGAAGCTAAGAAATTTCCACGTAGCGAAATACACAGAGCGGATATGAGATTTCCGTGGCCAGCGAGAAACGCCTGTTTGCCAGTTTTCAAGCTTCTTATAGTAACTTTGTTACCCATCGGATACACGAGATGCTCTCCGTCCGGATGCAATCGCAAACCGTTTCTTATGGAACCTAAGCCATGGAATGCAACGCTGTCGCATTATTGTACAAGTGTGAAACGAACCAACGAATACTGACCGTCGAATGCTATCACCCCGCATAGTTCAAGCTCTTTCATGTCCACCGTCGAAAATCTCCGTTGCGTTCGAATAATAGTTTTTCTTCGCTTTATAATATCGCTATCGATGGTTCCGGGTAAGTGGGTACTTGGCAATACGAGTACGCGCAAAGCACAAAACGAATAACGGTTGGCGCGTTGTCATGACACCGCCGCGAACAAGAGTAGAAGCCATATCCATTTATTACGCATGGAAGCAAGTTGCTGCTTTGGATTTGGAAAGACGTCACTGTCTGGACACGGCAAAGTAGTTTCAACGGTAAGTTGAGAATTGTGAATTTTTCTCGTTTTCGGCAGCAGGATTCAAAGCTTTCGTCGACGCCGTTCGAAACAGCCGAGTACGAAGAGACGGAGAAAGAAGAATTGAAATCTCGAGTTGCCGCCACTCGGTGTACTCGAGTACACCGGGTCGGTAACCGAACGGGAAGAGAATGTTCCCGCTGTGCTGGTAACCGGTCGACGATCGATCATATCGATCGTCTCGCTTCGACGTACTTGGACGAACCGTGGATTAGCTCCGGCGTTGCGAGTGCTGTTTACACGGACACTTTGAAACTCGACTCGCGACTCGAGAGAAATCCGACATCCGAACTCGTCGAATCCATGTTATCTTGTTCCGTTGCGTACTTTGGCTACAGGAACCGAACATTTTATCGGAAGATTCAAGATCATGGGTTTACTACCGTAAGTGAGACATCTTTCTGTTTTCGCGTTATTAATGTCAAGTACCGAGCACCTAACATTTCGCGACAATGCATCGCGATCGACGACTCTATGGACGCTGTAACCTCGCCGCAAACGTAGCTTTTATTTCAATCCATTCGCTTTTCTTCAGCGAGTCGAACCCAAGACTTTGGAGAATCGGCAGATTGCAAACATTCGGACAGTGGCCTTTTCAATCTTTCGATAATCCGTGGCATCCGAAACGAACGGCTGCTGCTGAATGTCTTGCCGTTGCCAGCAAAGAAGAACCAGATTTGCTCGAATGTTTCATCTGTTCGAAGTAACCGGACGACGATTCATGGTATGTCACCGTTTCTTTGTCACCCTACCTCTTTTATGCGCTCAAAGTTTTACAGACAGGTAGCTGTATACATATCTACGCGTATGTTTCAGGGCAGAGCAACGAATCGTCCAATCGTGGATAGTTGGGTTTGGACAATTCGGACAGGTCCAATTTGTTGAATCGATTTAGCGTTCCTAGTCTGAAAAGCCTCTGTTAAGCGAGTCCACCTGGGAGGTGCGTTTTAACATTTTTCTTTGATAATAAAACATGTACGTTGTACGTTACAGACACGCGAATCGGACAAAGGTAAAGCCAAAGCGAAAGAGAATACCGCTAGAATGGCGAAGAAAATTCCTGAAACGTCCAAGCGCTGGAGAAGAAGTTGCCCTAACAGAGTCCGAAATGAATGCCAAGCATCTATCGATCTCTCCTCTCGTCTGTTTGATCCGCCTGTTCGAACCGTTTCTCTGTTCATTATTCAAATCAGAAGTGGAAAGTTGGTTTTCATCGATCTAGACAAAGAAATATCGTGTACGTCCGGACCGATAGTGATAACCGTTCCGATACCGATCCAAGATTAACATTCGGTGACCGGTGTAGATACGAATGAGCATACGAATTATCAAATATTGCGTTTGACTAATTTACGCTCTTCATTCGTGTCAACGAATGTTGTTTGATTTTATCGAGATACCACTTGATTTGATGGTATTAAAGCTAAGATCGATTCATTATCATCCATCTCGTGGCATATCGGCACACGGATGTCTCAATACTAAAATTTTTCCTATAATCGTAACGTTGATTACGCGGCGTCTATCGCGCGTGCCTTCTCCGAACATTACGTATCCCTGAATCGTAGAAACAAATTCATATATGCTGCCCGTTACGTGTCGGTTAGCGTTGCTAATAAAAAGTACATTTTTATTGGAAACAATTTCTATCGCTTACGTAATCATATTCGATTCTAAATGGATCGGAATCATTATCAACGTTCCTCTGTGGCAAGATATTGTTTTCTGTTTTTCCTGGTTCTTTCCTTTTCTGTTTCTGTTTCTGTATCTGTTTCTGTCTGGTCTGAAGATATTTCCTATTACGCGGAAAGGAGACCTTGCGATTTCGCGTCCGTTCCCATACCGGAGGCATGCGTCTACCAGAATTGGTTTCTCGTACTCGAAATTGAATAATACGAGTTGTCGAAAGAAATTTTACGCGGGATATTGCGCGGGTGGAACGATAAAGATTAGTTATGCTTTCGATTCTTCGATGAGTTACGAAATGATCGAAACCTTGTCTTGAAAGTTGAGCAATCGGTGTAATTTGTCGACGGAATTCATTATCACTGCGGTTATACGTATATATCTGTAGGAAGCTTATACGCATTGTGTTTGCTTTGTATTTTGTTCGTGTTGTGTTTGTGTCGCGTAAGGGCTATATTCGTTATTTATCGAGTCGCTTTAAGCCGATAGCTTATTGGATTGCTGATAGTTTTGTTGAATCCAAGCTTTCCATTGTTGATGTATCTGAACGCAATCGTTGCGCGGTCGCGCTGATGTACCGTTTCTAGAACGGATAATAAAACACGAGGAAGGAGAGAAGGAAAGGAAACTAAAAGACTGACAAGAGGACAAGAGACAAACGGAAATGTCCAATGATAAGATCAACCCTGAAAAGCTCGTATCGAATCTGAAATCCAGTTTCTTTCGATTTCTTTCAATTTCTTTCAATTTCAGTTGGTTTTTCACGCCACGTACGAAGCGCGAAATGGATTTCCTTGTTCGATTCGCCGATTCTTTCCGTCGAATTTGATAGCTGCCGATGGATATTGAATCGTGAACAATCGTGAAAAACTAAAGAGGAAAAAGGAAAAAGGAAAAACGAATATACGTTCGGTCGCGTTATCATTTCCCCTCCAGCTTGGCTGTGCCTCCTCCGCGTCAACTTTTACCACGGTACTACGCTGCTTAACATCTTATCCACATTTCCTTTCCCTTTTCGCGTCCACCGAAGAGCACGTGCACACGTATAAAACGAATTCGCACGGAGAGCGTCGATTCAGTTACTCGCAACATGTGATCGAGGTGTGTGCACGATCGACCGTCTACTACCGTTTCGTTTCTATTCGTATAGATAGAATCAAAGTGAATCGAAGATTGTGCTCGATTCACCGCTGAATTCTCGACCTTGGAAGATTCAGAGGTAAAAAGGCTGCCCGCGTAGGTATTTCGTTCAAGTTTGGATATCGTCCGAACACCGATTTCACCACTCTGGATTACCAGTTGCACGCATTGCGTATGTACATACATCTTCTGTTTTATTCCAAGGTTTGCCAGTTTTCGAGCGACAGATTTGACAAAGAATGATATCCAGTTGGAAACTGTGCTGTAAGTATTGGATGCAAACTCGTACCTTCTAGACATCGTTGTTGGCTTGTTTCCGTGAAACGTGTCTTGTTCGATCTCGGACAGTTTATTCATCTCGATCGTTGTATCCGTTCTTTCCGAGAGCTCCGCTTTCGCGTGAAACGCGACTCGATGGGATTAGGATTGCGATTAGGATTGCGATTAGGATTGCGATTAGGATTGCGATTGCGATTGCGATTGCAATGTTTTTAATAGGTGATCGAACCAACACGATTCTTCCACGCACTGCGGCGCCCTACAGTCGGGCTTGTCGATTATGAAAAAATAAAAGCATCGACGCGAGCAACGAATTAACGGAAACGCGAATGCGAGATGTACTGTGAAAAATTAATATTCCCATCGCGTTCGGATCGAGGCCGTCCCTCGATGGTTGTTTGCATTGTAAATAATGACGGAACTTAAATCATGCACCGATACGTATCACACACCGGCTTCGAGTTTCCCAAGTTCACGGCTTTCGTAATTTGAATAATATCATTTATTTCTGTCCATACCGTACTAGGTATACTCGACTAGACCATCATAATCGTGGCCGTGGTGTCGATGAATCGTGAAAAACAAGATTCGATATCTTTCAATTTTATGACAGAAAAATACTGTGTAAACGGTCCGAGTAGAACGAGGCCGGGAACATCTGCTGCTACTCTCGATCTTTATTCTTTTCAATAATCTGACCGTTATCGGAACGGTACGCGCGTTGCTCGCCAGCGGAGAGTTTCAATGTTTTCGAGTTGTCCCTCGCCGTTTCTCGCCGTTTCTCGCCGTTTCTCGCCGACGCGACGAAAATTGAATATAAAATATCATCGAAACGCGAAAAATAGTACCGATGGGATCTTTGGGGAACGTTATCGTTGCAGCTGCGAGACGAACGCGATTCGTTGAAAGGAGGAGAAGCAACAACTCGTGGCTCGTAATCGTAAGCCGCGAGCCTCGAGCCTCGAGCCGTAAGCCAAGATTATAAGAATTAAGACTGTCTCCGAGTACCTATGAATATCGGCGCAAGTTAAACATCAGTTTCTCCTTATCTTTGCAACGAATCAACGACTCGGCCGCCTGCCGATGTAATCAGTTCAATCGAACCAAAGTATTTTCTTCGAACAATTTTTGGTTTCTCCTCTTTGGGTTTCCCGTACATCGTCTATAGATAAGATAAACTTGCTGATGCTGCGTGTCATACCGGTGCTTGTTCGAGAGACGTGAAAAACGTATGCGTTCACTAAATTGCCGGTGATACGATCGAATAGCCGGAGGGAAGATGCACGTGTCCCCGCCTCGAACGTCCGTTCCGTGGGTTCTCTCTCTTTTTCGATACGAGCAGTTTCCACCGTCGAAGTCGTTTAATCGTTGAATCGTTTAATCGTTTAATCGTTTAATCGTTTAATCGGTTTCTATAGTAGGATCTCTGAATCCCTTAAGACGAGAGCCGCCGCGCACTCGTGTCCCATGATAATGGATGAGAATATCGATGCTCGTCCCACTCGAACGCCGCGTACCTTCAACCTAATTTCTTAGAGGAGTTGAAATTTAAGTGTTATGCGATGAAACGACAAGTGTGATAAGTTTGCAGCAATGACATATCGTGTCGCACATATTTTCACCGTGCGTTCAACTTTTCCTTTTTCCTTTTTATTCCTCTCCATTCCTCGTCCTTTTCCTCCTTTATTCTCGCTGGTTCTCGTTTCTTCTTCGTTTTCCCTGTTTGCAACATGACCCCTTTATCCGGCGATTCGACCTAGTCGAGTAACACAGATTTCGAGTCGCTCGACCGTTTCGTTTACCGCTAGAAAACTTTAGCTCCCACGGTCGTTCCAGTGTCCGATAGAAGTTGATCCGATTCGAGTCCAAGCGCATCCCGCGAGTCGACACCACGATTATCGTTGTGTTCGAAACAAAGTTTCGGATGCATGTTTTGCGCGCCTCCGTGAGCCGCGCTCGACGTTTACGAAACACACGTTTCGTTCGGCTGTCCCCCGTTCCTCGATAACTATTTACATTCGCGTCACGAATTATCATTTCGAGGTCTTATCCGATACACGCGACCTTTACGTCTCAAGGATCGTTACCAAAATTTGTCTTCTTTGACCAGCTCTGTTTTCCTAGCTCGCGATCGGATCGCGAATCGATCGGGTTCGGTCTAGTGCGCGCGGTACCGAGAACTCTATCGCTCGAGAGTTTACCTTTCCGGAGGACGCGAGCCGAAATCCGAGTCGAAATCAAAATCAAAGTCAAAATCGAAATCACGTTGCACCCGAGTCACACTGTTACGTGCAAGGAATCTGACCTTTACCTAGATAGGTTCGCGTACGGTTCGTTAGACAGCTGCCAATAGGGAAAGGCTCTGCTAATCGTCATTCCTTCCGCGCCGTTGACCTCGGGCTTTCTTCTTTGCGTCCGCGATACAAGTGGTGGCGGGGTTGCGCGATGCCTGGCGCACGGGCCTCTACTCGTCGATACAATTACCAATAAACGGCATACCCGTTTCTCACCTAGGCAATAGGATACCGCAACGATGGGTGTTTGCGATAATGGGATTTTTGGCGTTGTTGAACGCTTACGCGATGAGAGTTTGCCTCTCGATCACGATCACCGAGATGGTGCAACCGGCGGATGCAGCGCACGAATCTGCTGATCACACGTGCGATAAGTTTGACGACGAGCGATCGCATCCCAACCGAACAATCCCGTCCGATGCGAAGCTCTACGACTGGGACGCTGTGACCCAGGTAAAGCAACATTTCGCGCGTCCCCACCCCGTGGAATGTTTCCGTTGACACGCTGAATGCCAACCAAATCGGATTGCCGTAGTTTAATACCGCGGCGCGGCATTCGACGCGTCGACGAGAGGTTGCTAGTTTCGAATTTGATTAGTCTTTATGTTTCGTTTGGCCAGGGCACGATATTGTCATCGTTCTACTGGGGATACGTGATCACGCATATACCGGGTGGCATGCTGTCCGAGAAATTCGGTGGGAAACACGCCCTCGGCCTAGGAATTCTGGCGACCGCCTTGTTCACGCTGCTCACGCCGGTGGTGGTAGAGTATGGAGAAGCAACGGGTCTAATTGTTCTTCGCGTACTAATGGGTCTGTGCGAGGGTACCACTTTTCCGGCATTGAACGCGATGCTCGCGCAGTGGACACCGCCGGAAGAAAGATCCGTGATCGGCTCGTTGGTATTCGCGGGTGCTCAGCTCGGTACGGTAATCGCGAACTCATTGTCCGGACTGATTCTTTACTACTCACCGATGGGCTGGCCAGCTGTGTTTTACGTGTTCGGTAGCATCGGAGTACTCTGGTTTCTGATATGGCTGGTAACGTGCTACAATAATCCGGACACGCATCCGTTCATCTCCCAGAAGGAGAAGAACTTTTTGAGCGAGAAAATGCACGCGCATACGCATAAAAAGCCACCGTCGGTCCCATGGAGGCACATTATCCGATCCGTACCACTTTGGGCATTGATAGCAGCCCAGGTTGGCCACGACTGGGGTTTCTTCACTTTGGTCAACGATCTTCCCAAGTACATGAGCAGTGTGCTCAAATACTCGATCAAGAGCAACGGGCTGCTCTCCGCCTTGCCCTATCTCACAATGTGGATTTGCAGCGTAATCACGTCTTGTCTAGCCGATTGGATGATCACGAACGGCGTGATGTCGCGTACCAACGTACGCAAACTGGGCACCACGATCGCATCGCTCGGCCCCGGAGTGTTTATCATCGCCGCCTCCTACGCGGAATGCGACAGAACAGTCGTCGTCGTAATGTTCACCCTCGGCACCACTCTGATGGGTATGTACAGACGATCTTTCTTTTCTCCCCGGTCTTGTGATCGCCTCCTCGACACTGTTGATCGATCGGCCCGGCGCACTGCTCTCGTTCTTTTTCCATTTTCCAGGCACCTTTTATCCAGGAATGAAGGTTAACGCGCTCGATCTCAGTCCCAATTACTCTGGCACATTGATGGCTCTCGTGAATGGAATAGGCGCTTTCACCGGTATCCTCACGCCGCACATCGTCGCCCTGTTGGCTCCGAACGACACCTACCACGAATGGAGACTCGTCTTTTGGATCGTCCTTGTCGTGTTTATCCTGACAAATATTATTTTCGTGCTGTACGCGAGCGGCGAGGTTCAGTACTGGAATGACCCTGAATTCCTCAGAAAGGAAAGGGAAGGGAAGGGGAACGAGCAAAAGTTCGAAATGAAATGGACGAAAAATTGGAGAATACCCTTCGTTAAAGGAGACGCGCGAATATAATGTAAATTCAATGGAAATTTCTACCTTTACGATGGAACGGCTTCCTCGGCGCTCTTCCTTGCCACGCGTCACGCGCAATCGTGTCTCTGTGTGCGGCCTCGAGTAAACGAAACAATCCTCGGAAGAGAGTAACCGTTCGTTCCGTGTAAAAACCGTACTTAGCACTAACAGTATTTCCCCGTGTTGTATGTATGCGTGTATCATATTATCCGCCGCAGCTATTCTTCCTCGTTTTCGTCTAGTCCAGACCTTCGTGTGCTCCCGGAATATAACATGGAATCATAACGAAACGTGAAACGATTGCGAATAGGAGAGTAACGCGTGCGTGCTCCAAAGGATACGTTATTCGGGACCGTTGTATCGGCAAGTTTTCGCTTAATCACCGTGTCTCTTGTACCTGATGAAACTATGTTACCGCGAATCATTTCTTTTCCTTCTAAGTAGGTTCGTAGCACACTCCCGATGTCTACAGATGTACGCGTAGACGCGCACGACCAAGTGATCTTTGGGCGAAATCGTACTTAGAAGAGTATCAACGTTCCGATTTATTGCGCCTGTATATTTATAGTAAAATGCGATATTTCACAAATATTCCTAATCACTTTAGCTTATTATTTACAAGTATTCTGAATTTCCCGCATCGCGTTTAGGACTATCTCCACTCGAAATTCGCGGTCGAAATTCGCGGTCGAAATTCGCGGTCGAGTTTCCATGTTCCGATCACGTTTCGTACCATGTGTGTTGTTTTTCTCTCCGAACAAGAGAAAAGTCAGTCCGAAATGAGAAGAAAAATAGGGAAAAGAAATTAGAAAGAAAGAAAAAGGGGAACGACGAATAACTCGTTAACTCGACGACGACGGTACAGTCCAAACGAGTGGTATTTCCATTTTCTTCTTCTCCTGTTTCCTTCGGTGTCCGCGATATCTTGTTCTGTTTGGACTCCAATCGATGTTATCGCCCCGTACCCTCCAAGGAGTAGTAGTTGGTATCGCATGACTCGTAAGATACGGCTGGGTTTTCGTGTCTCCAGCAGATTCTACGTTATGAATATGATTCGCAAACTTGTAATCGATGTGATAGTAGTCTCGAAAAGTTGGCTCGTCGCGAAACGCTTGCATGGCACACCACACGTGCAGCAGCAAACAGGGGAATCTGGAAAGCCAATAGTCGGTGAATTTGTCCGGAACATCTCCGAGGTTTTCCTGAGCGGCCAGGCTCAATTCTCTGTAGTGATGTTTCTAAAAGAAATCGTGCTTGAAACGTAAACAGATTCTATGCACGGTAGGGCGGGTAGATCATTCGCGTCGTCAAAGTGTCGCACACAATTACGTTTTACGACGTTAAATCTATAATCTACCTTGTTTCTCAACGCTCTCAAAAGATCTCGAACACTGTCTCCGCGGTAGCTTCTATATCTTCGAAGATCGGCTGCAACTTCCACGTCGATGAATAATCTCCAATCGCCGTGTACGATTCGGAGATTGTCGGTTTCTAATGCGATCAAAGCTGCACTGTCGCTCTGTTCCTTTTCCACTCGATCGCTTACATCCTGACATCATAGATGACGTTTCCAAGAAAACAAAAGAAACAAAGAAATTTCAGAAACAACATTCGGACCTGGCAATCTATCGTATTTATCGTGCAACGATCGCGACACATCGATCGATCGAAAGGAAGGAAATACCTGAAAGAATGCGAGTATCCGCGAGGGTTCCCAAAATATGGGATGTTCGTGGATAGCCGTTACCGGAGGTCGTTCCGACGGGTCGTTGGCGATCATAGCCTTTATCAGTACCAACGCAAGTTCCTTGTCGCTTTCGGAAATTTCTTCGCGAAGGGCTGTCAAGTCGCTCTCGCCGCCTGCGATAACATCGGATACGTTCATCGTTGAGGATTAGAAAGCGTCTTTACCAGTCGTGACAATGTCTTACACAGAATATTGGCTTGTCGTCGCAACGAATCTCCGAACGGATGTTTCCCACCGGAGAGGACGTAATAGAATACACAGCCAAGAGAAAAGATGTCTACGGCACACGTCGTTCTGTTTCCGTTTAATATTTCTGGCGCTATCCAACCGTCGGTGCCGGTTATACCGGATCTACGCGAGAAAGATACACGGCCCAGTTGGAGTTTCTTGCACAATCCAAAATCGGATATCATCGCTCGAACTTCTCCCCGTGGCCCCGGTGCGGACAACAGTACGTTGTGCGGTTTGATGTCCCTGTGTACTGTGCAGATCGAAAATCATGGATGACAACGCCTTCGTGTCCGGACGCGAGATTTCTACACCCGTCAAGAACAAATACCTCACCGATGTCGAGGCAATGCAGGTGAGCTAATCCGGACGTGGCCTGTCGTAGAATGCTTTTCGCGGATATCTTTCCTCTGTCGTACAGTCCCGCGACGTAATCTTGCAAAGTTGCCTCGGCCAACTCCAACGCAATGTATCGAAACATTCGATCTTGCTCGGTACAAAAGTACCGTACAACGTTTGCGTGCGCGTCCGATTCCCGGAGCAGTGCTACTTCGCGGTCAGCGAATGTAAAACAGTCCGGTAATAAACGTTTCACCGCTACGGAACGGCCATCAAATTCCCCCCTAAAATCAACGTAAAGCACCGTACAACTCTTACACGCGAGTCAAGAGAATCTCGTAAGAAGAGGACGAATAAAAACGACGGAGAAAGAGGGAAGAAATTTCACGAGCATATTTGCTTGCGAGTACCTGTACACAAAAGTTCCCTCGCATCCTTTACCCAACACTTGACCGGTATCGAATGTAATCTTCCCAACTTTTACCACTCCTTCGCCCATGTCTTCCGGTACCGCGAGCGCATTCGATCGTATCCCATGGTAGTAATCGTTGCTCGTGCGACTGCTTTCTCGAGAGCCCTATCATTAACAAACTGATTTCTTAGGTACATGGCCGTAATTTGAAAACATATGTACAGAAGCGAATCGCAACAGAGTCTTGGAGAGCGGAAATGACAAAGTCAAATTACACGACACAATTGCACGAGTACCTGTGAGAGTTGTTGGAACTCTTTAAATCGTGCGTTTAGGTAGCAAAACATTGCCAAAACGCATCCCAGCAACACGATCAATGCCAATTTTAGACCTTTATTCTCTTGCTGATAAAACCAGCTTCTTATCGCAATGTACGCGTGCCGTACGATTTCGTGCCAACGCGTGTCACTTTCGCTTTCGCTGGATCCACCGTCGGTATGAAAGTCAAACGACAGTAACGACTCTTTGGTTGAATTCGGGTATCCTGCGGAGGACGGTAACGTTTCGATCACAGGATCGGATCGACCGGTAATCTGAAGAGGGTGTTGATCTTGCAACTCGTATTCTGCTGGTATCTCGTAATGTCCTATTCCGATGAAATCAATGAAATGAATTATTGCCGCCATGTACCGTACATACGCGTCCTTTCAACTGTGATTACCTAGCGCGATAACTGTTTGATATTCTGTCTGGACGACACTCTCGGTATTGCTGTCCACGTAGGTATGATTTCCAGTCGATACTGGAACGGTATTGTTAACCTTTCCAGACTGCGAAACCGGCAACGGACCCTCTAACAACAACTGTCCAATATTACTCGATATCGTGGCTGTTGTTGAGTCGACGAACGATGGCAGAGCATACAGTCCGTGTCTATGTTGGCCAATGTACAATGTTGGACTAGAAGAAGAAAAAACAACAAGTCCGATTGTTCTACGGAGAGCGAGCGTCGTCGATAACTTGAGTGAAAACAAGAAAAAGCAAAATAAAGAGACGGCTTACAACAACTGAATGTCGCTTGGTTTGCTTGCAAAACGTTTCAACAGAAGGTCCAATGTACCATCCGCGACACTGGTAAAAGGAACTGTGAGCAAACCATCTTTTCTCACTATGTATAGCGCTATTACCGGACTTTGTACATCCAATTCCCAAAGAACAATTCCCAATCTTCTATCCACGGTGACGATACGTCCAGTCGAACTTGTTGTAAAATGAACTAAATCTACAATGGAACGGTGTACTTGCATATCTCGTATCTAATTCATTCTACAATACATTATATCCACATCTCAATTACAAAAGCAATCGTGACCGACCATAATTCTCTGTTCCCTCGGGTTCCATCTTTGCGGCAGAGTAGTCGTAGAACGTGACATTCCATTTTCTGTTTTTTCGTTTGCTGTCCACCATTATAATATTGTATTCTGTACGCCCCACGAACACACTATCCTGCATCTCTACAGGACATGTGTTTTTAACTTTGTCGAATCCTAGCAGCTGCTCCCTTTGTCCGGTTCGAGGATCGACGCTGAACCACGTGTCTACCTTTCTACCCGTATATAATATTCCGTCGCTGCTACGACAAGGACTATTCGCTACAAGCTGAGGAATAGTGAATGGTAATTTCTTCAAAGCTTCAGTTTCTGCACCGAATATGTACAAGGAGCCGTCTTTTGGATCCGGTAAAAACATTGGTCTGCGAGACAGAGAGAGAAAGAGAGAGAGAGAAAGAGAGATAAAAACATCGGAGGAAACTATACAATATATTTGAACCGACAATTGCCTACGTACGTGGTGGAAGCTCTTGAGATATCGATTGGTACTTTGACGATCGGCTCTGCAACAGAATATTTCAACACAGTTACGATACTTGCCCGATTACTTTGTATGTATCAAGATTACCGTCGCTCTGTCGCCAAAGTATATGTCCCGATCGTTGCTCTACACCTACAAGAAAACCGTCCAATGTGGAAAATATCAAAAGTGGTTCATCCTCTTCTGGCACCAGTTCTGTATTTCTCTGCATTCGTACCGTAACAATAACAATACAGTTATCATACTCTTAGTTTTACAAAACAGTCCTCGCTTTAACGTCACACAAATCAAGTTCGATATTACCGTACCTCTTGCTTAAAGGATTCCAAACAATCAGACTCGTCGGATCGTTCCATCGAATCGGTAATAAAGAAAAGCGTTTCAATGATAAAGAGAAACAGTGCAAAAGGTATGAGTCGCATCGTTCGTAAAACAGTTTACCGGTAGGTTCTTGGTTGGACAAAATTCTATTCTCCTTGGAGAATGAAAGAAATTTCATTTGTAGAACAAAAGAATTGCAAAAGCTTGTCACCTTTTGTGCAACATTTAATGCATCGAATTCTCATTTCGTTGGAAATCGCTTTCCCAACAATCCTTTGGTGCCTTCTATAAAACCTCTGTCAAATTAAGTCCATAAATAGAATAACGTGATATAGTTGAAAGAAATCTTTTCTCTTATATCCATTGTTGCTTCCGTGATATTTAGCGAGATTGCGACACGCTGATTGGCGTTAAATAATTGTTCTTTTCATAATATTTATTCCACAAATTGGAGGAACGTATCGTTTCCTGTTTCACTGTCATTGTCATTATTCGTCACAGTAACGAAAGAAGATGATAATCATCGGAAAATGATACGTCACATGGTACGTGTCTTTCATAACAACATTGCACTTTCTCACGCACGTATCATGCGCCTAGAAAATTCAAGATCCTTTCAAATTTTATTAATCCGTTTTCGGTGCATTTTGCAAATGCTGATTTAAAAAATATAAATATCTTTCAATACATTATTCCCTGAAGGTGTTCGAACAATATCGCGCATGAATTCAAAGGACAACGATAACGTCATGGACACGTGGCTCAAGTATGTTCGCGCGCGACAGTGCATCATCTATTCGTATACAAAAAAAATATCCAGAGAGACATTGTAAACGGGATAGAAATGTTACATGAATAAGTAGGTACGTGGTGTGCATACGACGTTTATTCGTTTGTCTGCAAACTGTCATACCGCGTACGATCGCAGCGATACATCGATGCTGACCTTTCCTTCCTTCGGTTCACATTTTTACATGAACAATTTCACCGAAAATCTTCTCTTTTCGAGAAGAATTGTTTAAAAAACACTATACACAAACATACGTTTGCACTTTATTCGGCCTTATATTTCCGTGTTGCGAAATACGTAAACACTTGATGTTGACGAGGAGCGACAGAAGCGGAGGATATATAAATAGTTTTAAATTGAACTTTAAGGCGGCACATCCATGTACACTGTAATCGAGTCAGTTTTCACGATGTAAATTCAAGTAAGTACTTACTCGAGAGTACGCAAGTATCTACGTACTTATGCGTAATAATGTAATGTAAAAAATGTATGCACCTACATAGGTATTTCAATAAGAAATGAGTCGACCTTTTTCGCTATTACGTCAAGTCGCGGTTTTGACAATTCATGCGAATTGGAGAAAAAGCGTTCATCGTTAGCATTTTAGCACGCAGAAGTAGAGAAACAATACCGTTTTTACGAAGGTTGTATTAACGTAGTACTTATGTTCATTGTCGCCGGTACAGTTGGACACGCATGAAGATACGACATGAAGGTTATACTTCGATCACGGGAGGTAATGTTTGTCCGAACGTTGTCACTCGTAATCTTGGACAACAAATGAACCATGGATAGATAGTTGTAATAATTCGGAGGAAGTTAACGCAGAAGATTACGTGATGCGTGCGATTCAAGATTTGTCGATAAAGTGTACATTCCAAGAATATTCACGCATCGATTGTTCGTCAAAATAAATATTTCACAATCATGAGCAGCAAGCACAGCCCTGGAAAAGTGACATTGGCTATGATAAAAGGTAAGATTAATATAGGCGATACACAGGTAAGACTGAATACACAAGAATACGTTCCATTTAATCTAATTACAATCATTGGATCGATGCACGATATTCTAACGAACTTTTTCAATTCGTTCATAAGGGAAACCTATTACGACTTCGGTTCCTGTAATTCATTATCATGCCAGTGACGACGAACTGGAAGAAATATATCCAAGTACGGACGAAGAAAAGAGACTGTCACCCGAATTTGAAAAAATTTTGTCCAAGATAACCTCCTCTCCGCAAAAATGCACCGAAAAAAGATCTACACAGGAATCGTGCGGTTCGGAAAACAATTCGGATTGTCAGTCGGTTACCGCAGAAAATTTAATACCTGAAGGCACACCGCCGTCTTTAGGTGCATGGAAAATGTTGTCAGAAATCAAAGGGAAAATAACTAAAACATTCGAAGAGAAACTATCGGAAATAAAAAGTGACAAAAAAAAACTTTCGCATTCTAGAGCCGAGAGTTCAAGCATCAGTGATTCGGAAGATCAAGGAAGCGTTACGCCTTGCAACAATACGATGGCTAGCGACAAGCAAATAAACGAATCGAGTACACCTGTCGTTCTCCCACGAAACAATCCGGGTAAATATGTAGGCTTCTCTGGAATAAAGACAGGTCTGAAGGACAAAAGTCTGCAAGAAGAGTGCGTCGAAAGTGGCATCGAAGCCTCGGAATTTTCTCCCGACATTGGCGACGACCTCGATCCCTGCGCAGAGACGAATGCATCGTTCGCGAAATCGTTGGATAGCGACAGCTGTATCAACAGCCGTAAACAAGTTTCCCAAGCTCACTCGACTTTACTTCTAACGCGAAGAAATTTGAATTTAATCTTTTCGCATTTGCTTAAACAACTGACTTATCAAATAACGTACACATCAGTTGCTGTTTTCATCGCAATTTTATGCATTTATTACGTTACTCCGTTACCAGAATATTTGATCGGACTTGTAACTGGCGTCGTTACAACTATAATGTTTTACAACATGTCGGCAAGGTTTAAAACGATTTTGACAAGTTTACCAAATGAAAAATTTGTTAGCAGGCAAGTAATACCCGTTTTAGAGATTCCAGCAGTAGAGGAGCATGCTGTGATCGAGAGATTTCAAGGCTGGATGAACGAATTACCCTACTGCTACGAACCAACTAATTATCACGTGGCCCGTACCAAATCTGTTTTTCTTAAACTGGAGGGCAATGTGTTGCGTATAATGGAAACAAGAATGAAAATACCAAAGAAAGCAGTCTGGGATGAATCGCAACACAAATTGAAGTTTTTCAGGAAGAGAGTTTATAATTTGAATGGAGCAAAAATAGAGCTTCTTCCTTGCGGACTTGCCAGAAGACGAAGATGGAGTAAAAAATATCCAATTTGCATAACTCTTAAGAAACGGGCACTGATTTGTAATGTAATTCTGAAGGGTTCCGCATACGACGAATGCTACTCGACGATTAACGGTCACGAGCAACCAATGTCGGAATCGAGTACAAAGGGCATAGCTACACCGATCGAAGCGAAGAACCAGGACGAAACGTGGCAAAAGGAAGAGGAGAATGGAGGAGACAAAGAAAAGAGTTTATTGGAAAAGGAGGAAGATGCTGCAGAATATGACGACGACGACGACGACGATGACATTGAACATTTCAATTCCGATTTCGACAACGATGAATTTGACAACGAATATCGAGAAGGCGAACTACAGACCTTAGAAGCTGAAAATCCAGAAGAAGTATGCAGAAAAGGAAAAAGGATAAGAAGGAGAGGGAACACGAAAAAGTATCATATGTATGAATTTGATTACATAGACAGGAGAAAAACGACCACGATCAACAATCACGACGACAGTAACCACAACCGCGGCCACAATTACAACGATGAGGATGATGGCGTAGACGACGATGACGATTATTACGTCGACGATTACGTCGACGACGGCGAGGACGAAGACGAGGACGAGGACGACGAGGATGACGACGAGGACGAGGAGGAGGACGACGAGGATGACGACGACGACGAGGACGACGAGGACGAGGACGATGACGACAACGAGGATGACGATTACAACAAAGACAGCGACGACAATGAGGAGAAAGAAGACGAAGACGAGGATGAGGGAAATGAAATGTTAAAAGACAAGAAAAAAGTGCGGCAAGCACAAAAATACGAGGTTGAGAAAGCTACGGAAGACGAGGAGATGAGGAAGAGAAAGTGGAGAAGGAGAAAAAGAAGGAAGAGGAGGAATCGGGAGAAGGGGGAAGAGAAGGCGGACAAGAAGAAGGAAGGTGAAATTGAAGATGAAGATTTGGAGGACGAGGCGCGGCAGGCGAAAGGGAAGGAAATTGAAAGAGAAGAAAAGGAAGTGTGGGAAACTGTAGGAATGTCCCAGACTGCGCCGTCGAAGAAGAAACGTTTGAAGAAACGACGGAATAACCGTAGACTGCGAAACCAAACAAAAATCTTCATTTTTGCTAGGGCTGACCGCGAGAAAGAGGATTGGTATAGGCGATTGGTCTCTGCCTCGATGCGGTGTACCAAAAAGAAGGACGCGTCATCTTTTACGATATCCGATGCATCGTCCACATCGAATATGTTATCCACACAACGAGCCGCAACCACAGAAACGAAATTAACCAATAGTCCTTTTGAAAGTGTACCTGATCTCAACTATCACACATACATGGCGAAATATTTGGATATCAGCAGTTCGACTTCGGAAAACGAACATTCTTCGCATATCGACAATACGCTTTGGATAAACTGTTTAATAGCTCGCATACTGTTCGATGTACACAAATATCCAGAAACTGTAAACCTGATACAGGACAAAATACAACGGAAATTATCTAGTATAAAACTACCATATTTTATGGAGTGCCTTTTAGTTTCCGAGGTAGCAGTAGGTCAAGGAGCGCCCATCATTCGCAACGTAACGAAGCCGGTGACAAACGAGAGAGGTCTTTGGCTCGATTTGGACATAACGTACAAAGGATCGTTGACTATGACCGTTGAAACAAAACTAAACCTGATGAAATTGACGAAAACTGGGACGATTGCCAATAGCGGTGGTGGGGCAGTGGAGAGTGGTGGAGGTGACGTTACAGTTTGCCCGGGAAGAGAAAAACCGGTAACTAAATCGCCAATGTTCGACAGCGATATGGAAGACACGCCGGAAACTTCGACGGAAGACGACGATAGTTCGCAATTTTGTAGTCCAGCCAGAGAAATAAAGTAAGTTGCGCTGCGTTATTTCACCGTGTTCCACTACGAATCGTTTACAGTATTTTTATTACAGTCCACCGACACAATCATCCGGAAGAAAGTTTCTCAATATAGTAGATAGAATAGCTGCAAATAAATATTTTCGGCACGTAAGTATGCTTTAACATGTCGCAGACGCGTTCTTTCGATACCGTCCGGTACCGGATCTCAGAGTATTCTATTAACGGGTGCTTCCGTTTTCTTTCTCTCCCTTCTTTTCCCCGAACTAGGCAACTGAACTGTCCTATGTACGAAGAGCCATGGAAGGTGTCTCAAACACTGAGATTCGCTTGATGGTTACCGTTTCAAGCATAGAAGGTTGCCTTTCGTTAAACATTCCACCAGCACCGTCCGACCGATTGTGGTACGGTTTCAAACCAGTACCGAAAATAAGTCTCACCGTGAAACCTGCAGTCGGCGAAAGAGCGGTCAATATCGTTTACGTAACCAAATGGATAGAGGACAAGTTACTCAGGGAATTTGAAAAGCTGGTCGTTTTGCCCAACATGGACGATTTTGTCTTGCCATTATGTCCCAATTATCCATATTCGAATAAGCGATAATCGCGGGAACAGAAACGAAAATGATGATAGCAGCAGGAGTAGCAACAACGACGATGAAGACGACTACAAGAATAATAATAATAATAATAATAATAATAATAACAACAACAATAATAATATTAAATAAATAAATAAATTATTATTGTTATTATTATTTTTATTCGTTCAACAGTGGCCCTTCGATGCACGAGAAAAGTATTTATCGAAAATATCGTGAACCCAATGGTGCAAATAAAAGGAAAACAATGCGAGACGAGAAGAACAATTACAAACATATAGAAAAGTACAAAAGTATAGATCGAAAATGAAATATATAGAGAAGGAGGGGGAATACGATAAGAAAGCATGCGATGAATTGATTAAACAATTTGGAAACTATTGGAATGATTTTGAACAGCGATAAAGATATTGTAGTTCCGCCACTATAAAAGAATATTCGTGAATCTGGAGCTGAGAATTACCGAAGGAGAGTGAATCAAGGAAATTTCGATTAATGCTAGAGGAGACGGTACAGAAAACGAAAAGACTGGTCGCGATAAGATAAGTCGCGTTGCGCTGTGCGTTCTTACCTATTTTACAGAAGGCTGCCTCCATTTCCTCGGCGACATTATCGGCGTGTTCGCTATACCTGCGTTATTACGGCCTGCCTGGTGTTAAAGTCGTTCGCCCAAGTGAAACATACAAGCAGCATCTCTTCTCCATGGTTTTCCATGGTCATGTTGCTTCTTATCGTTATCCACTAGCATCCGGCGAATTACTTGAACACATCAGCGAAATGGAGATGTCGGGTAAAAACGACAGAGTAACGTTTATATTGTGTCATGTGAGTGTAATCTAGCGTTCTGTTGTTATTTCTGGTGCACGTGGCTTCGCATTGTATTCGCAATTACAAACGTAGACTTGGCTGGTGGCTAAGAAAAGATGGGTATCGTATAAAACTTTCAACATCACCTCTCCTCTCCAAACATTGACGACTTTTTCCATGCCAATTATTATTATCCCGACTGGAATAACACAACTATTTCTGGATACTTGGATAAGATACTGCCAATTATAATATTTCAAAGTCGTACGGATATTGGTAAAAGTTTGACTAATTATTCAGTGATTGGTTTATCGTCAGCCTAGCATTCGACTAGTCTACTCTCTCTCCCTTTTTTTCTCGTTGTCTACATCGCTTCAGTTTATTTATCCTGGTTTTCCTTTCTTTTCTATCCGCGAATGTAATCTTTGTTCTATGCTTTTACACTTTCGCATATTCTATTGTATCTCTATAATTTTTCTTCCACCTTATGACGTGTATTTTGTTTAAATGAATTTTCTTTTCCTTTTGTTCTCGCGGTGCAGTATTTTGGACGTTTTCGTTGAATACGAGAAACTCGTAAACGATATAAATAATTGATTGTAGTTGGAAAATGTAAGAATTTCATAAGAATATAAGGGGATCGGTAGTTGAACAAAGAACGGAGAACGGTAGCGGATAATTCTGTATCGGAACAAGTTAAGTATACAGTTATTCGAGAGCAATCCGAAGAATGTACAACGAGTGTATTCTATGTACTATACAATCTTTACAAAACAATATCACAGTTCAGAGATCAACGAGAGATCGAGATATAGTATAGTATAGAATAATATTTTATAGTATTTTATAATATTTTATGGTATTTTATGGTATTTTACGGTATTTTATGGTATTTTATAGTATCTTATAGTATCTTATAGTATCGAACAAGAAAATACAATTTATTATTTACAAGTATATTTGATTCCAAACCGAAAGCTAACTTCGAAGGACGCAGGGAGCAGTTTCCAGCTCACGAACCGTTATCGTCCAAGTCTCCAATCTCGGTGCACAAACCAGAATGAGGTCACCGAGCCTTCGTTTAGCCATTATCACAAACTCACCCTGGCCGTGCCGTGCATCGCAGATACTGGGTACCCTGACACGAACATTTTTTCGGTCGCGGAACTCGGTGACGTCCACGTCGTTGTTCCCCTATTGGAAAAAGATAAAAGGAGAAGAGCAAAACAAGTTGATTAGTTTTATTTTAGGCAGCAGCGAAAACACCTAGAAAAAGAAACGAGGAAGAAGAAACTGAGGGAGATGTCGCGTCAACGTACCTCGTTCTCTTCGATTCGACGCAAGGTCTTGGTTACACCGACGACGAGTTCGGCAGCTTCCAAGTTCAACTGTTTTTCTACGGCGTTGACCGTGCCTCTAACCACTAGATCGCTCTGACAGTAGGCTTTCGCTAATTCTTCCATGGAACACGGCCTGCAGTCCTCTTCCTCTTCCTCGTTGTATAGTCGGTATCTTGTATCTGGATCGTCGTTGATTTGTTGTTGCCGTCGCCGTCTCCGTTGCGGTCGCCATTTTCGTCGTCGTCGTACTTCCAAGTCGTATTGTAATTTCACGTCGCGATGTTCACCGAGGATAGGCTGTTCTTCCGCCTCGATGTAGAGTGCCGCTGGTTGCCTGTCGATGGGAGCGGTAGTAACAGCAGTATCAGTATCAGCAGCAGCAGCAGCAGCAGCATAAAAGCATCTATGGGAGGCTTTGTGCTTGCCGTCTCGTGGAGTATACAACGTTCGAAGTTTGCCGTGACTCTCCAAGTACACCCTTACCGGGCCAGAAACCTTGGCACACGCACGAAATCCCGATAACCGAGAAATATCGGCGGTAGCAGACGCGACAGTACGATTCGCGCGACCGTTTCTCTCGGTATCTTGTTGGACGAATTCCACATCGCTCTGCGACATGGATTCGGTTAAAACGGGAGGCGAGAAGACTACTCGTATAGCTCCGCGTGGATATCGCCAAATCACAGTTCCTCTCGAACATCGAAGATACACCGGCCGTACACCTCGTTCTCCACCTCCGCTGCAATGCAACAACCAACAGGGATAAATTACCGACTTGTTCCGTTCTTTTCTCTTCCCTTCCCTTTACGTTACGTTCCTTTCCTTTCCTTTCCTTTCCACGCCACTATTCGATATTTCTTTTATCTTCTTCGCGTGTCGATGACATTTGACGAAACTCGGGGACGTTTATCGAAAGCTTCGCCACTTGATCCAACCTTTTATTCGGTTTTTCTTTCTTTTTTGAATGGCTCGCCTGTACCACTAGGAGAACCGTTGCATGTACGCCGCGCGCAAGCTTGTATCACTCTCTCTTCGAAGAGAAAGAGACAGCGAATCGAATGTTCACCGGCACGATCCTTTTCGAGGCGGTTCAGAGAACGACGAGGAAAACCGGTTTTGCTCGTAAGTCGTGCGACTGGTTTCACGTTCGATAAAAGTCGTAGAGTTCTCCCCCGCCCGTTATCAAAGCATATCGTAAACTACATCGTCGTAGATCCTATGGGTCGATACTACTCTGTGCCGATACATTGGAACAAAGATTCAACGAGCATATTCTCAGATTTCGTACGTTACTAGAATGGCATCTAGATTTAAATGGTCACTGGAGAGGTAAATAAAGGAGGGAAGGAAAAAAGGATGGAAGTAGGAAGAAAAGAGGAAAGAATGCAAACGAAAGATGGAAATCGCGGCGAATAAAATACTAGAATAGAATAGAATAGAATAGAATAGAATAGAATAGAATAGAATAGAATAGGATAGGATA